AAAATGGCATTGAACATGATAATGCTTATGACTATACTATTGGAAAGGCATTTCAAATACCAAACTACCTCCTGAGGGTAGAATCATGAACAGAAATGCAGAAGAAAAGGCAACAACAATAAATAATAGCAATCTATGGGCCTCTGGAATGAATAAAAACACATATATCTAATAAGTTTATTTCATTATAAGTTATATGAAAAGAGAATGAAAAACTGAAAAGGAGCTATTTGGCATTTTGAAAGCAAGGTTTCAGCCTTGATTTTCATGTTGGGGGGAGGGAATAAATAAATAACAGTGATCTCCAACAATGGTGCATTGACAAAGGTCAGCCAAAGTGCTCCCAAGGTCCCGGCTTTTTGAAATCCAATTGAAATTCATATATCTATTGAATGTGGTGCGGGGAGGCTTTAAGGGCAGTGTTTTCCCCTGGCGAGTTCATTGCTCACTGTGGAGCAGCACCGGGGTTAACGACGGCGGCCGCGCAGCCCACTGTACAATCAGAGCAAATCAAAGTGCAGACAGATGACTGCCACTACACACACGTGTGAGTCATAAGCTTTCATTTAGGGAGCGGGTTGCCATCCTTCAGCAGAGAGACAGAGCAACTGCAGCCCCTTCAATGATCAGAGAGAGAGGGAGAGAGAGAGAGAGAGAGACAGAGAGAGAGAGAGAGAGAGAGAGCGAGAAAGAGACAGAGAATATGCAGCAGTGCAGGGCCAGAGGCACAGGGGCATAGTGTGGAATTCATTAGCCACTGTAGCTAAGAGGACAAGATACCGCTGGTGACCTCTTTGACCTTAGAGGCCCTAGTTTGACAGAGTGAAGCTTCTGGCTACCGCATAAATCCTGAAACATTTCACATTAGATCCATTACCAGTGACTGACAGACTAGCCATTGCACTCATGGACTTTTATGTGATATAGTAACCAGAGCAGTGAGAGGCATTAACATCTAAGTGGCTAAACAGTGGACTATAAGAGCCCACTGTAGTGTGGCAGGGACACTTCTGCTCAGAGTTAAACTAAATTTCATAATTTCAGAATGTGGTCATGGACTGACCCTGAATTTCTTAGATACTGTAGGCCTATGTGAAAATTCTATATATTGTACTGTATGGGATTCAAAAATGTACCAAAAATTATTGCCTACAATTTGAAAATGAACACGCAGTGACATGTATGAGATTTAATTTGCTGCACTGTTCTTGGTCAATTAAAGCTGTCAATCTACTTCAATTGAAAACAACATTTTGAAACAAAACAACATCTTTTTGGCCAAAATGTAACTGAGGTTGGAGTTTGTATGGTGCTTTGCTTGCTGAACAGAACTCCTAATCTCTGCATTGTTTGTGCTGATACCACTTCCTGACTGCAACTGGTCCATTTGTCACATTGTTGCCTGCATCACTGCACAGAACAGGACTCTAGTGGTGCTGGGTGGAAAAGATATATTTGAGTTCTTTCTAAGTTCAGTTAAGTATTGACAGCATATTCAGCAGTAGTTTAATTTTGTTAAGTTCTTTTATTGTTTGAAGTAAAATGCCACCTTAAGATTCTGCCCACCAACTACTTTTGTTTATTTCCTAATTTATTTATGTTTCCTCACTTGTTTGTTTTTACAAGTAAATTATAGTTCACACTGTAAATATTTCTGAAAATAGAATTTAGACCATACATAGTGAGTCTTCATTTAAAAGTTCATTTAAGTTTACTGAACGTACTAGTTACGTGAATTCATTGCGCACTGGATATTGCTGAGCAACACAGAAATAAAAAGTTATTATTAAAAAAGTTATTATTATTAATCTTATTATTATTATTATTATTATTATTATTATTATTTATTATTATCATCATCATATTCTTTTTCCTCTTCAAGCTATCTACATGATGTGCTTTGTTTTTGTCAAGTAAACTTCATCTCAATCATAACAGAGAGAGAGAGAGAGAGTGAGACAAACAGGCGACAGTGTTTTTCCACAGCTTCTTCCACCTTTATCAGTAGATTATTGACATGATTGGCCTAATTTATTCTCCAGCATTTGCTTTTGGGGGAAAGGTTTATGGATATTCATTCTGGAGGTCCAGGATATGAGTTGTGCAGCATGAAATTGGTGAAGTGTAGCTAACCTTGTTAACTCTCTCAATTAAAGTCATGTCACAGACTCATATCCGTGCTGTTATACGCGGAACAACCTGAAACAAATACAAATGAGTAGAATAACCTTCTCCATCTCTGCCAATATCCTCTACTTCACAGTCTGAACAGTACATACACCCCTGCCATGACCACAGCATATTACAGACTTCATCACAGACCAGCTTCTCTTTCCCTTTCCATTTAAATCACTATACTTCATCACATACCACTGATTGGTAAGAAATAAGGCTTTGGACCTGAAACTGATTAGAAGTGTGAACAGCATGACAGGTGTTCATTGCACTGTACACACATTGTATAGTTCTGATGAGAAATCCTTAATCTGTCTATTCTGTCTATATCGTTAAGTCTATACTGTCAATTGAGGTATTAACTGACCGTATAATAATGAACCAAAGCAAAAAAAAAACAGTGAATGCTAAGTTATCACATTATGCGGTGCTGTATCTGTACATACTTCTACACAGATGCTGGAATATTTCGTCCTGTGTAAATGGCCTGGTGTTTGTTATTGAGACAGACTGCATAATGAAGCCAGATGTCAGAGTTTCACTACCTCCCCGTTCCTAAGGACCAGGACACCGAGCCCTTGCATTCTTATGATCATACGCACATAAAGGCACCCACCAGGTGCTTTGATGTTCCACATTATTAGCATTTAGGAAAGCTGAATCTTTCATCAAATTTTGTTGCTCGGCTCAGTGGGGGGCCGTTTAAAGAGGAATTACAATCAGCTGCATGCCAAATGAAGGTGGATGTAGGTCTCACACCGAAGGCTTTCTAGTTCTCTGTGTGTGTGTTTGCGTGTGTGCTTGTGTGTGCGTGGTTGTGTGCATACTTGTGTATGTGCGTCTACTTGCACTGTCTGTCATAAGCTTTGCTATAGATTTGGCCAATTAGCACACCCTGGCCCATTGTAATTCTGGCAAATACCAGACGATTCTTCATAAAGAGAATTCAATTAATTGCTATTTTGATGCTGTTTGTGCCCCCCTGATGATGTATTTATCTCTGAGCTGTTTAAATTTCACTAGGAATTATGTTCATTTACATGCAGTTCACTGTAATCCTACTCTATCTTTTTTAATGAAGTTAAGGAGATTAAGGCAGATTTTGCTGCAGCCACTGCGCTCCATGGATTCTCTGTCATCTTCCCATAGCACTCCATAATTCCATTTGTGATGTGGCTCAATGAGATTAAAGTAGATGAAAATTCACATTTAACACACTGGTTACTTTGAAAAGGTACAACTGTAATAGGTTTTCTATTGATAATAAACTAGGCAATGTTACAAATAATTGTACATTGTCAGTAATTGTCACAAAGAAAGGCCTTAGTGCTGAGTGATATATTGTTTGTACTAGAATACCAGTATTAGAGTCATATACTTTTAGTTTTAGTGGTACTGACAGATAAAACCTTAATTACAATGCAGTCCATGTCCTTTGCTTTGTGCTTCTAATTGTTTTAAATGATAGTTTAAAAAACATAGTACCTAAATAAATATTACAATTAATTTCTGGGACTGTGTTTTTTTTTTTGGTGTAATAAAAAAAGTCCAATCAAAACAATCTTTGTCAGGATTTCATTATAAGATACTCTTTTAGCATGAATGAAGAGTGATTTATGGGTTTATTAATTTTATTAATATAAACATTTTTTACTTTTATCTAGTAAAGCCGTCTTATTGCTTCGGCAAATTTAGCTAGTTTCACTTCTTGATACAAGCCAAATTATCTGCATTATTACTTGAATTAATTATTTGCTAATGGAATAAAACAGTTTTACCTTAACTTCAACAGTATAGAAATGTCTAGGAATATGTTAAATAATCATATAATATTGCTAAAACAATTTAAAAATGAGAAATAACAGGCATGTAGACTGGATTTAAGATGATTTCACTGCGCAAAAGTCTAAGAAAACTGTTTACATCTATTTGTCCTTGCAGTAAGCGTGTTTTAGCCTGTAAAAAAAATGAGGAATAGATATAAAAAATATAAATTCAGGAAGCAGGCTTTACACATACAAGAAATACAAGGAAATACAAGAAATATCAATAATATATTATGATTAATAGCACTTTATTAGAGAAATAAAGATGTGTATTCTTTTTTAAAAACTTCTTATATCTAAAATAACAAGCATTTTGGAATTAAACTCTTCAATTATTCTAACGTCAGTGCTTTTTTAAACTGCTAATGACACGTATTTTGCTTAGATGACTTTTTAAGAACACTGTTAAAAAAAAACAACAGTTACTGTTTATTTGCTCAAATTTAGTTTCATATTAAACATGAAATGTGGCCTGTGCACATTATTTTATTTAATATGTTAAACTTAAATAGAAATTGTGCACTAATATTGTGCCCCCCAGCACTAGCAGATCTATGCATTTCTCAGTGTGGTGGCCCAGGGCTCTACTGCTGTTCCATGTCTTCAGCCACACACATGATCAAAGTCTAGCTTGATGTATGACATGTGACCAAGGTTGGCATCACGGACAAAGAGAAAAGAAAACAACAAAAACACGAAGATGAGCAGTCAAACAAAAGGCCTGTGCTGGTGTGATGAGTGAGTAGTTGAGGACCACTGAGGAAGCACTGTCATGTTGGTGGAGTGCAGCATACCCCAGGTTAGCCATGAAACTGACACGCGGCCCTGGGGGAAGGTTTCTCCCCTCACATATAAATACCTCGGAGAGGCCGGCCGAATGGTGGCAATAAACTCATTTGTTCCTCCAATAATGAAGAATGACTACACCCCGCCCCACACACATACACACTCTTCCTCTTTGGCACATCTGTGACTGTTGCCATGGCGACCCAGTCTTACCTCATGGCTTCCCGAAGTGCTCCGCGCTCACTCAGAGTCGTGTGTTTGATGTCATCGAAATTGTTCTCCAGCTTCACGCAGCTCTGAGAGAGAGAGAGAGAGAGAGAGAAAGAGATAGAGAGACATAGGATGAGAGAGCAAGTGGTGCTATTTGTTTGGATGTTTGTGTCTGATGCATTTCATTGATCGGGGCTATTACACAGGCTTTGAACATAATCCACTTCAGTATCATCACTAAGGCTTTTTTCCCCCCTCGCTCTCTTTATCCACATGCAAATCGCGACGTACTTCCACAGCCTGTCCTGCACGATTCATTAAATGTGACACTATCAACTTCTGCCACAGTGGAAAATGTCGGAGTTTCAGGGGCCGGCATGCGGTTGTCATGGCAATCAGCCTCTCCAGCCCCTGACCCCTGGAGGTAAGTGCAGGGCCGGACAGAGGCCTGCTGGTATTGACATGCGGGTGATTAGTGAGAGGCGGCTTTCACCTCTCAGCTCCACTGATAAACACTGTGTTCCTCTCTCATGGAGCACACGCACTCACACACACACACACACACACACACACACACACCCTGATCCCTCTCTCACACTCAAGAGCAGGAGTCATTATCTCTGATAACCCTCACTGACAAACAGTCAACAGCTCCTATTGCACTCTGTGGGTCACTAAGCACACAACAGGATTGCTGAGTAAAAAATCAGTGCACAGTTGTGAAGTATTGAGCAAAGATACTGCACATCATCCAACAAAATGTGCAATATTGCACTAATGTGAAATGCGATGTTTCAGTCATTATAATGAATGAAGACCGGCCACTGGGTAAAGACTAATGCTAATTACACGCAGTGCATTTAAAACATAAACGCACTGTGCATATATAATGTTTTCCTATATAGATTACCTGTGCTTGTCCTTGTATGTAATATGCGTGTGCATGTGATACCTGCGTGACATTGATTGTGTATATGAGCAGCGCAGCGCAAGCAGCCGTAAACTCTGCAGGCAATCTGTCAAATCATCTAATCATGCTAATATGAAACTGATGGATAAAGTCCCCTGCAGAAGAGAGCCCCACCCTCACTTAAACAGGCCACACTCTAAGGCAGGGGTGTCAAACTCAACCAGTAAAAGGGCCATATTAAAAAATCTCATCAAATCTGTGGCCCAGAGAAGAAAATATTCTTATTCTTACTTTTAATTAATGTTGTGCTATAACTCAAACTGGCTATTGTCAAAAATTAAAGTCCCCAGGTGCTCAGTCTTTTAAACCTACCTATTTGATTGAACTAGACACCTGGCATCCTTTCTTTACTGCAAGTTCATTAAAACTTGGGCTTAATTTCTAAACCGATGAGCTAATGTTAAGTGTTTATGTTGGTTGAACTGCAGCTGAAATGCATTTTGGTAATATGACTGGTGTGGAATTGCGTAAAATTGTGTAGAATTGAGGTGTAACCGCTGTCCAATAGATTGTTGTTGGGGTAGGAGAGTCAGAGCACATTACGCTGCAGTGCATGCTGGGGACTGTAGTGCAGCACATTGTGAAACAGACTAATATTAATAGAAAATGAAAATACTTGTGTGGCAGGCCTTGTCTTGTTTGACACATGGGCTCTATTTTACTCATGCAGTATTTTATTCATAGATTTTAATTTGATGCACTTGTTTTTAGACTGTTTCTACTGTCTTATTTCTAGGTTTTAGCATTAGTCATTCATAATTTTAATCACGCATAACTGGCTGTGTCTTGTTTAAAAGTAGATCATGCCTTTATAATGATGTTTACTGTGATTGGCTACTTCTTTCTAAGTAAAGTACTGATCACTAGGTTTTCTCTTGTACTTTCCAGTTGGTACAGATTTGTATGGGTTTTCACAGAAGTAATGAGTAATATCACTTTTTTCCAGGAAGTGATCAGTAAAGTAATCCCATTATAGTTTGAGAGAGGTAATTAGTAATTTGTAATGGATTACTTTTTTGAGTAACTATCACAACACTGGAAGTACTGCATTTGGTTATTTGTGAGAGTGTGTGTACAAAGAGTGCGGAAGGCTGGATTACAGTTCCTTTCACTTTAAATGCCAACTATTTGCTTTATGAATGCTCCAGCCATGACGTATTCAAAACCTAGATATTGATATATGAAAGCCATGGCACACTAGAGTGACTTTTATTTTGCTGATGTAAATAATATAAATTTCACCCAAGCAATGTTGCTGACTGTGTTGGCAATGTGGTGTTAATTCAGGAGAAAGCTAACTCACTTTTCCCGAGCACAAAAAAAGGGAAACGGTGGGTTGCATTTTGACTCCAGCAACAAAAACCACTCACCAATTTTTATTGATATCTAATCTACATGATTACAAACAAAGTGCAAGTAAGGGATTTTTTTTTTAAATTGAATTCCCCCTGCATCCTCTGCTGATGTCTTCATCTAATTGAGTGGCATTAACAAATGTTTTGTTTCATGTTGTTCAAATAATAAAAACACAATGATATGGAAATTGATAATTATTGCACTGTCTTGGCTCATGGGTGACATGGTAATATTGCATCCAGAAGCAGTGTGGCTGTGCTTGGAGAATATGTTGCGTGGGCGACCCACGCTCACGTGCCCTCCGCAACGCTTTCGTTTCTCGAAACAATAACTCAATAATAGCATTTATATATATGATTCACAGCGCAGAAAATGAAGCCTGCAGATCCATTACCTCGCTCATATAGGGCATGAGGCAAATAGTCAAATGTAAGAAACGGTTCAAAAATAGTGGATATAAAAAAAGGTATAAAATGATGAGGTGGTGAAGAGGTTGTTCAGGTTTACTGTAGAGAAACTTACTGGCTCAGATTTATTTACAGTGGTTTTGATAGGAACCAGTGAACGCAAATTCTATTCACAACCCAAAAGGACCAGTGAACCTATACAAGTCTTGTGAGTTTTTAATATGCAATGCTGATAATGGTAAAACAGTAGTAAATCTGAAAAAAATCTTAAGAACAGCCTACATTATACCTCTCTACTATGAATTCATTTTTAAAAATACATTTTAGGCTGAAATATTATCCCAAACTAACATAAAACAATGTCTCAGGTATGGGGCAGCATGTTTGTAACCAATTCATACCTTTCCGTGATATAGCTTTTAGAGGTGTTAAACTCTTTGTTTATGTCTGGTTCCTATCACCATCACTGTGAACAATTCTGACTATGTAAGTTTCTGAATTATATTGTTTACATCTTAATGATTTTATTGGGGATTTCTATTGATTTTTCAAAACTTTGCATAATTCAATTTTTAAGATTTAAGCAAAGTAATTCAGAGTGATGTGCTCCATTCTAGAGAAACTTACCACTTGCTTACAGTCAGAACTTGCTTGAAGCTAGAATTGTTCACAATAGTGTCGATACGAAGTGTTCCATGCCTCACTATGACTCTAAATTCTACTTCACAGAAATCTGCTACACAAAATAGTTACAAAGATGTTGCCTTGAACACTGCTTGTAATAAAAAAAATTTGTCTAAAACATATTTTTAAGGGTTAACATGGTGGCGAGGTGCATGCAGGGCACTATAATATACAGTAGCACCCAAAGAAAATGTACTTGTTTAGATTCACCATGATTTTACCATTATAAGCATCACTCAGAAGACACATGTAGATTCACTGGCCATTTTGGATAGTAAATAAAATGGCTATATTTGCAGCGCAGACATTGTGAATGCTGGTTCCCATCACCACCACTCTAAAGAAATCAGAGTCAGTAAACTTTTCTGCAATGCACCATTTCACATCAGACAGACTCTGCATGACTTTGATTACATCTTAAAAATTGAATTATGCAGAAACTTTGAAAAGCTGTGGAACTCCCCTTTAACTATGCAGTCATTTTGAACAATTGGTGGAAATTTCCCTTTATGTTAAGATGAAAACAGCCCAAAAAAAGATTCACTGCAATGCTAGTTCTATATAAGTTAGGGAAACCTCCTTAATGAAAGCTCATGACAGCCTGAAATCAGCCATTATGAGTAAAAGCTACTCAGCTGCTAGTACTGTACACAGCTAGCTGAGCAGGCATAAAAAAGCCCTTTGTGTATTCCTTTGTACATTAAGAAGCATGGAAATGTGCTGAGAGGAAAAAAGACTTATTAGGGGTTTCTATTAACATCAAACCCAACATTATTCATGTAATCTCCCTCCCCTCCACCAGGATGGCTTAGACACGGAAGTGTTGCCAGTGTAATCCTTAGAACTGCTGCTAAATCCTATGAGAGGGGAGTAGAAAGGGGGAAGCTGTGGGATTATGGGTGGGGGGGCGAGCGCTGTCTGTTGTGTTCCAGCTGATAAAACCCATCGATCACTAGCACCCCAACGCCACCCTATCCCATCCCCCGCCAAGCTAAAACCCCACCCTCCTATATATCCGGTGCAGAGCAGCAGGCTGGCGTTTGATCAGGCAGGAGCAATCGATAGCCAGGTTGATCAGTGGCAGGTAATGCTGCCAGGTAGTTAGAGATAAGTAATCAGCCTGCTTACCCACTGTTTCATTCAGCACTTTCCATGCTACCTGCACTAAGGCAACTGACTAACTGCTGTGAGCAGCACCCCCTGTTGGCCGTCAGCATCACAAGAGCAGGCAAAGGGCATGGGTTTAGGCTGGTACATTATGTGTTAAAGAGTATATCACTACAAACTCATTGCGCTGATTTGACAAGCACCCTTACAGTTGTCATAATGAATAAAGTGAGACAAACTTCCATTGATACCTTAATATATTCCAAGGGGAAAAAAAATTAATCTCCTCTTTTATAACATTCAGATGGTATAATGAGCAATCTGTCTTCCGATCCCTGGACTATTAGAGGCATGATCCATTTACTTTTATCTGAGTGTGATGGATTGGAGCATTTGTTCTTCATTTTACTCCATCTATTTCGCTTCAACAGTGGCATATAAACCCGGCAACGGTTCTGATGCAGCCTCGTTCATAATGCTTCATGAGAGGAGAGATGATTCCACATGCAGAGATTAGACTGCAGCCACTGGCTGCTGTGCATCTCTTCCCTTCTAATAAAGA